CATTGGGAAAGAATCAATAAACTATCACTTGCTCATTAATCAAAACTAAACTCAACATAGGTCTACTCAAACTCCACTAGTTTTCACATTCATCAAATAAAACTAACTCAAATAGTTATATGAAACTAGCTCAAACTCCCTTGGTTTCCACATTCATCAAATAAAACTAGCCAAATATTTGTCATACCTTGACAACTAGAGAACATCTACTATAGAACACTAGAAAAGAATCAATAAACTATAACCTACAACCTGCTTGTTAATCATAATTAAGCTCAACAATCAACATGGGTCTAATTAGATTTCACTAGTTTTCATATTCATCAAATAAACCTAGTTCAACTGGTCATATAAAGTAAAATTTGAAACAACACAAACAAGTAGATATGTTGCACATGCAGTCCAGCAAAGCAATGTCTAGGACTCTAGTTGCAGTAAATATACACAGCCATACATGTCAAGTAGGTCCAACAACAAGTTTATAAAGAAAAAAAAAGACATAAATTGCCATACAAGTCCTGCAAATCCAACAAAAAGTTCATAAAAAAAAGGCATAAAGTACCATACACATCTAGGTCCAACAAATGTTCATAGAAAAAAAAAATGCATAAACTATTGCCATACATGCCTAGAGGTAAGTTCATTAAGAAAAAGAGTGGAAAAGAGTCTAGCAAATGACAAATGCATACACATCCAGCCAATCCAACAAAGCAAACTCTACAATAGCAACTTAATCTTGATCAATAACTTCAAGTTGAGGAAATAATTTTTTGAAACAAAAACAAGTACCCCAAGTTAACAAAATTTTAGAAAAAAATTCTTTGTAATAATTTGTATAAAGAAATATTATTTTTTAAAATTTACCCTAGATTCATCATCCTCATCATAATTCTCCTCCAACTCCTCAAATAGAAGAAATTCACATCATTATAAGAACCTGAATTTTAAATGTAATAAAAGTTTAGAATACAAATTAAAAAATAAGAAAATAAAATAAATATATAGCCTTAACTTAATATCTTTCAAATTTTTCTTTAACCAGTCTAGAAGATACATTAGTTCTTATATTGTATTTGGTTTAAGCTTGCTCCAATGTGGACTAATAACTTTTCCACTAGTGTTAAAAGCTAATTCTAAAGGTACAGTGAATATGGGAATGACGAACACATATGTAACAAGCATTTGCAATATAAGAAACCTAGTCCTATGAACTTTCCACCAAGTCAAAATATCAAAGTTTATTCTGTCTCAAATGGAACTAACCTTTCCTCTGAATAGGCATTTAACTTGAATTTCACAACTAGAGCACCATCTTTTGAAGGAATGTCTTGAATTTTTCAACAAAATTTTTATTGCCAATCATAGAGGAAGATGAGGTAGCCACTAGTAAAGCATGGTTAGACATTTGCACACTTCTCTTATATTGGGAAGTCTTAGATTGATATCTATCAATCAAGTCATAACAATGCCTCAAATTTTTTTTGCATTTCCCCTTGAGTTCTATCTCCATAAATTTCAATAAAATAAAACTATACCAATTCCATTTGGTATCTAAGATGCAAAACAATTGCTGTAGTTATAATGCCATGAACTTCACTCCAATGCTTGTCAACTTTATCAAGCATTTTTTCTACCATTGTTTCTTTAACAACCTTTCCACAAGTCAACCATGCCTTCAATGCAACTTTAATTTCATAGATCCTTAGGAATAAAATATTAACAGTAAGATATTTATTCTTTGAAAGCAACTCAATGATTTCATAAAACAACATCAACCTACTAGAAATCTCCTCAGCCATTTCCCAATCCTCCTCGAATGGTGAACATTTATATTGTAGGTCTCTTTGTTTCAAACTAGAGAAAACATCTCTATAATACAAAGCCACATGAAGCATTAAATAGGTTGAATTCCATCTAGTTTTACAATCAAGAATTTACTTTTTCTAAAAAATAATTTTCAATTATTTAGCTGTTTCTTCAAATTTCTCCTCTCTTTTTAGTGTTGTTGTTAAAAAAGCAACACTATCTCTTACCCTCTCAATGCCATCAACAATTACATCCAACCCATCTTTGACAATTAAGTTCAAGATATGGGCAAAATAACGCATATGTATCAAGGTTCCCTCTACCCATAATGACTCATCAAAAACTTTTCTTAACAAGACACTTACCATGGCATCATTAGTAAAACAATTGTCTACTATGATAATAGACAAGTTTCTATAAATATTCCAATCCATCAAACAATCAAGCAAAGTCTTTGCAAGTAACTCAGAAGTATGTGGACAAGACACAAATTGAAAATTGTAAAAAAATGATAGAAAGAATTATATTGAATATCTTACACTCCTAAACATAAAATATATTTAAAAAAATCAGAACAAAATAATAAAATGTTACTTGATAATTTGACTTTGCAACATTCATGAATTATCAATATTATGTTGTGATGACCATAAAAGCTCATTTTTTATTATTTCAAGTCCACATGTCAATTTTGATGGCAATTCTACTTTGATTGTTCTCCAACAACTTCATTGTTCTAGACTAATCATTATGATATATGCCCATGATATCCTTCTTAATTGTGTTTCTCGAAACATACTTGAACTTTGGTTAAAGAGCAACAACCTTCTAAATCCAACATGATCAACAATTGATAAAGGTAACTCATGCAAAGTAATCATATATGCAAGTTCCCTTCTAGCAAGTCCTTGATTGAAAAATCCATGCCCAAGTTCTATTTTCCCTTCTTGATTCTTTAAAGCTCTTAAGAATGTCTGCCTTATGTTAGAAGTAAATTTCAATGGGCAAACCCGAGTGTGATCACGCAAGTGACTTGTCCCATTCTTGGTCTTACCTCCAAGATGTTTATTGTAATAGATGCAAATTGCTTTCCTATGGCCATTAATTTTTTGCCTCTTGTAGTGGTTCCATGCTTCAAAAATAAGTGGTCATTTATAGCCTTGATTATCTTTTTGATTCTCACTACTTTCTAATGCAAGAGGAGCCATAACAGAGGATAAAGTTGGTGTAGCAACAATAGCACCAAGGCTTAGTATAATACTTGCACTTGATTCATTTGGAATTTGAATCATTGGAGGGGTAGGCTCTTGAGAAGACATTTGCCAATTGATACCTAAAAATAAAAAAAAATTAGAAATTACTGGTTAGCGAGTCAATGGCTTGTGAACTGATTGATTATTCTTAAACAAATATCTATTGAATTGTGTACATCACACTATTATTCTACATTACACTATTATTCTACTTTATTTATGAGAATTTGGTCAAATCTCTTTAGCATGCAAATATTTGTTTTATGAATAAAAATTCAAACCTAGAAAATTTTTTTAAAATAAAAAAAGAGAAGAAAAACACCTTTTGTAACAAAAATATAAAGAACCTTCAGAAATCCATGCATGAATAAATTTATGCCCAATATATATATATATATATAAAGTGTTGTACAGGGATGAAATTGCATAACACCTAACATAAAATTAGGAAGGCCACAGTAATACAGACCATAAAACAATGACACAAAAAGCCAAACAAATAAAAAAAAATAAAAAAAGTTGTCAACTCAATCACCCAGTTACCTTTTTCCTTTTCTTTGCTCCAGCACCAATATGCAAATTCCTCAACTCAGTTATGTCGAGAGCTTGAGAGATGGGCAATAGTGGGTTTATGATTATGCCGAGAGCTTGAGGAGAATCAGAGGCAGAGCTGCATGAGTCCCTATGGGGTGAAGACAACTCAAGCAGTAGATGTCTCATCACTGTGCATAAGGTAAGGAGGACTTGGAGTTGGAGCCTTAGAGCTAGAGACGAGTTGAGGCAACTTAGGCAAGTAGCCACTGTCGTCGAGAGCTTGAGGAGAATCAGAGGCAGAGCTGCATGGGTCCCTATGGGGCGAAGACAACTCAAGTAGTAGATGTCTCGTCACTGTGCATAAGGTAAGGTGGACTTGGAGTTGGAGCCTTAGAGCTAGAGACGAGTTGAGGCAACTTAGGCAAGTAGCCACTGTCGTCGAGAGCTTGAGGAGAAACAAAGATGAGAAACAGAGTTACAAAGCCAAAGGAGGAACTTGGAAATGTCGACAGTCTGCTACTCGAGTTACTAAAAATGAGTTGCGCAAATTGGACTAGGCAATTGGGTTTGGGAAGACTAGATTCATTGGAAGTGTAAAAAGAATTGGCTGGACAATTGGGTTTGGGAAGACTGGAAAAAGAATGGGCTCTGAAATTTATGTTGGATTGGTATTGGGTTAACTAATTAGATTAGGTGAAGAAAAATTAATGGTTAATATATTTACAACATTATATAAATAGATATATATATAGTTTTTATTTTATATGGGTCCTCACGAGTCCTTATGGGGTGAAAAAAATTTCTTGTAAAATTTCATAAGAAAAAAATACTTCTATCCCCACCTCAAAAAAATATTCTTAAAATCTTTATCTCCGTAATAGTGATTTTCGTGAAACTCTAAAGGTCTTAAAGAAAATTACCACCCTTAAATAAAAGAGGATGGAGACGGAACTCACCCTTAGTGGCCATGTGTGATGAGACATCCACCACTATTATTTAAAGAAAATCTGTATTGCAAGATCTTCTGTGTTTGCTTCCAATTCCAAATACAAAGGGGCAACCTTTAGTTGTGTTAAAAAAATAAAAAAATAAAAAAGGGCAGCCACCTACATAATTTGGTGAGGTTGGTATCATTACTTTAAATTTTGGGATTTAAAACTAAGATTAAATGTTTACATCTTTAAAATGTCAATCAAAGATGTTAAAAAAAATAAATAAATAAAATCAAAGATCAGCCTCAGCCTTGGGCAAAAAAGTCAAAACAAAGAAGCAACGGGGCTAGTCTTTTAAATTGACAATTGTCACCCATTTGAAAATCCAATTCAAAACCCTCCCGAAGTGCTTGCAAAAATCGAAACCCCGCGTCCCTATTTTCCCTCCCTACTTCCATTTCCTCGTCTCCTTAAATCCCGTTCTCCAACCTCATTCCCAACGCTTGTCTCTTCATTCCTCCTCTATCCTACATTCCTACGCATCCCCCCGCCTCCCCCTCATTTCCTTTCACCATGGTGCACAATACCATCCAGCTACCTTGCGACGGTGATGGTGCTTTCATGCGCTGCAAGGCGACGCTACCTCCAGAGGAGACTCTCACTTGCTCCACCTGTGTCACGCCCTGACACGTCGCTTGCCTTGCCATTCCTCCACCCACTCTGGAAGCTACTCTCCAATGAAACTGTCTTGATTGCTCTAGAGATCCTCTTCCTTCTGCTGTCGCCATGGCCAGAGGATCTAGTGACCTCGTGGCGACAATCAAGGCCATGGAGGCGGATGA